CACGGTCCAAATCGGACATTTTTTACAGTCCCATGGGTGTTCGGTTTTCTCAGGTTTTACTGTATATATATATATATATATATATATATATATATATATATATATATATATATATATATATATATATATATATATATGTTCTTAAAGGAATATTCTTTGCTCAAACATTACAGAGTCTGTGCATTTGTTTATATTTCTCTAAAAAAATTGGTCATTGATAAAGTATTCATAAATTGTGGGTGGACAATAAATTCCTAAATTCTCAGTTCCAAAATGACCAATTTGAATTTCTCTTGCTTCTTCATCAGATGAAAGAAGTAAAAATATTTCAGGATGAAAAATATTTGCAAACATGACATGATCAGTTTCAAAATTAAAATAAGGAAAGGGGTTTGATGGTCAGCCCTTCTTTTCAACTTGTCTGAACGTCACTGAAGCCCGGCACTATCTTTAAATGGTGCGTTTTATTCAAAGGATGAACAAATATACTAGTTCAATTTCAAACGTGACAAAAGAATAACAGGTGTTTACATGAGAAATGTTCACTAAGTACTTCAAAATTTGTTAAAGCATATACGTTGCTTATCATCCAATATACTTTCTACTCAATTTATAATTACAGTGCTGTCTCATGGCCTAATGAAACAAATACTTATATGATTTTATAGATATTGTTATTAGCCACTGTGAATTAGTTCCTGTTCCAGACAAAAGTATAATTCTTGCCAAGGCTTTTCACATACTCTTGCTCGGCAGTGGCAGGGAGACTGCGTGAGATATGGAAACAATCTATTATTAATAACCATAACATAACAGTCCCACACAATTACTCACAGTGAAATAGTGTTTCACTGTCATGGTTAACAGTTAATATTACAAAGCAAAATAAACATGCCAGACACCAAAGCAAAAAGGGTAAAGGAGGTCAGTTGATCATTAAATCTGCTACACGTAAAAAGTTTCGGACAGCACGGCATTAAAAGGGATGTGGGTTGAGAAGGTGAGTAAATAGGCTTAGGTAAGGAATAGCAAAAGGGTGATAAGATTTGTATGCTCCTGTACTGTACAGCAATTTTTATTAATATTGTTTGTTTTAGAAAAATTGTGAAAATATGTACATTGTATTTTGCTCACAGACTAACAGTTATACACAAGTACTTACATATATCAATATCTTTAGCTCCTGCCATTACTCTTAATACTCTTAATCCCAGAACCTAAGTACACATTTTCAAATACCAGGTAAGACAAATTAAATCAAGTTAGGTTAATGAGACTTTTATTTGATATTTTTTACATTTTCAGCTTTTGTTAACAATGACACTGGATAACAGAATTCTTATAAAAAATGCTACAATACAGTTTTTACTCTTTCTTTCCTTCTACATTATCTTCAACTTCTCTGTATTGCTCTCTTTCATGGGACACCTTAGATCTTTCAGAGGACCAAAGGTGTCCCATGCCATGTCCGTTGCTACCAGACAACAGTGGTCTCACTCCCACCCTGTCATATCTGTGCCCTTATATCATGCACACGCATACATGCATGCATGCACCCACACACAAACCCACCCACATATGCACACACACACACACACATAATAATAAATGAGTAATGCACACCTGCATGCACCCAAAATAAACTTTCTTAATCTTGTACTAAATCACAGATAATGTTTTTAAATCTATATTTCTCATATAGTCTTCATGTCAAAAGTAAAACTCAAGCTAAGTATTTCCTTTATAATATAAACAATAAAGTAATATAAGCTCTTTTAGAACAAGTAAAAAACTACATACTTCTCTATGCATTGCATGCCATGAAGATCAGGAGTCTAAGACAATGTAACCTATATATGGTGTACCTCTTGCAATTATTCGCAATTGAGAAGTATGATAAATCATTCTAACTTGGGAAAACACCTCAAAAGGCAATAAACCAAGCATAAGTACCTCTAGATGTGGAAGCTGTTCTATAAATGGCACATAAAATGAAGCTTGAATATTTCTTCTTCTTGTGTTATGGGTGCGTGGTATAATCAATGGATGAGCTCTAAAACTTAGGCGTAGAGTGTGGATGCCAATGATTAATTTGTTTATGGCTAACATCATTAACCACTCACATGGAGCATGCTCTAGTACCAATTCTAAGCTTTTTAAATTTGGAGATGCCCGAATTAGTTTTTCTATCAAAGTGTGTATGTACGCAGTACCACTGAGTGAAGTATAGGTAACACTAAGTGACTCTAAGCTGTGGAGTGTCTTTATAGAGATGTCTCCTTCACTCTGAGCATGGATGCTTTCATACATTCTTAGTTCAAGCAACTTTAATGAGGGACATAGGTTGATTGCCTGGCATAGTTCTCGCACACCTATCTCTATGTGTAAATGAAAGTGGAGTGCAGTAAGATTGTTACCAATTTCTCCAAAGAGAGAGGAATATACAGAGAGTACATCACCGTCTCTTACATCCTCAGGTGGTGTAAATGGCACATGAACTGTGAGACTGCTGCACCTAAATTTTGGTAACCAAATTTCGGCAAATTTTGCTTCTTCTTTAACGCTTTCAGCATCTGTTCTAACATCCACACAATTACACAAAGTAATATGCTGCAACTCTTTAAAATATGAAATAATTTTTTCACTACTTGACAGACTAGATACATGATGCTGTATCCAAGGCATCAGACCACTAAAATGTACATGTCTCATACTATATGTTAAATCTTTGCAGTGTTCTGGGATCTGACTAGGAATATGAACCATGAATGGTCTTAACAAATGCCATGATACATTTACAACATTCGGATAATAATATAAAATATTATAAATAAACTCGGCTAAGGAGTATCTTGTAACCATGTTCTGGGGATAAGCTTTCCAACCGACATCAATCCACTTAAGCCTAGGAAATGACAAGCTGACATCCTTTGTGCTGGACGGTCTCTTAGAAATCTCACTGACAGTTTTGTAATCAAGTCCTGAGAAAAAGGTTTTGTATAAACAATCAATTGGAACCAGCATCCTGCCAAATACTTGTTCAAGAATAAAAGTATCAATCATCTTGCAATATGAACCAACACTGATCAGTATTTCTTCGGAGATGTTATTTCGAAAGTGCACCTTCTTAAGCAAAGGTGAGTTCTTAATAATAATAAGCCATGGTTCTGAATCTCCAAAAAGCAAGTGCTGTGTTGACATTTCTTCAATTCCAAATGGGCCCAGAGGCTTCAAAAAGTCACAGTAATCATGACAAAGACTGCGTGGAAGCTCCAGGTGAATCTGTAACCAAATAGAATGTGTATTTATATCAAAAGAAAAAAAATTGCTATAAAAGGCCTACTATATATGAAAATCTACTCTTTTATGGTGGCTCATAGGGAAAAATAGAGGGGGGGGAGAAGAAGTGAATGGAGGAATCCAGATTCCACTTGGATACTTTGGAGAAAAACAAATAAATGCACATGGAAAGAAAAAGTATAATAAAAACTGTTTAATACACTCCAATTAAGAATCTGGCCTTACAATATAGGTCAACAAGATGTTCAACTGCACTGAGCCTCCTTGAAAGTTGTTTGTGACTCCCAAGATCATTAAAGTTAAGTTTTAATTAAACTGACACTTTGTGTTTCATTACTATCAGAACCGATAATAATGAAAAACAAAATCTGTGTCATACATCTTTTAATGTCATACATCTTCATTACTGAAGCAATAAAAGAGAATGCAACAAATGCAGCTGCTGGACCTGATGAAATTCCTGGATTTTTTTCTTATGTAGAGAAACTATAACAAAGCCCCTAGTAAACGTGTGAAGGAAATCCTTAGACATGGGAATTATCCTAAGCTCACTGAAGGAGGAAAAATATAATATAAGCTAAAGGACCTTAGCATCAGAAAAAAGTAGGAATTAGGGTACATGATTTCTAGCAAATCACAAGCAAAAAGTAATTATTAATACATATTATTCTATTACTCCAAAGAAACATCTTTTGTGATGATACTAGGATAATTAAATCATTAGGTTTAACAGAAGATAAAAACAAATTAAGAGAGGACCTACATGCTGATAAATTTGAAATCCTAGGATAAGAGTTAAACTGGAAGTCAAATACCAAGTTCAAACTCTGTTGAAGGAATGGAAATTGAAGAAAAAGTAATTGTAAAAGACCAAGGCCTGTTCAAGAGTACTGACAAGGTACAATTAACCCATCACTGTCAGGTGAAGAAAATAAATAAAAAACCTACGCTCTGGAGATTAATGGCAAGGAGCCGACTTTGAGCACTGGAGTTCACTACATCAAGCTGAGTGCTCTGCCTGATGCGCTTTGGCACAGTGCCACGGCGTACAGCCATACTCCGCAGACCAAACAATTTGCTATGATGCCGGAGGGAGTGACCCGACAGTATCAGGTTAACCAGGTAGCTCCATTTCCAATTAGCCTATTGAATCCAAAAATTGAATAGACGTTTTCCCCCCAAGAGTATTCGGACAGATGTTAACCCCCTCAATCCAGGTCACATGACTATCACGTCAAGAAAAAAATCTGGCGTGAGGGGCTGGTGATGTGAACATGCCATCAAGGGAAAATCTGGCTGCAGGGCGGGCGATGAAAACAAACCTCTTGGGAGGTTGATTAGACTCATTTGGCAATTTTGCATTATTCCCATCGATGCATAAGTGTGGAATGTTGCAGATTCAATGTGAGCTGTGACCAGAAAAGAACCAGCCCCTTGGATGCCATTTCCATACTTAACACTGTATTCCTGGCACTATGGCAGGTGATGCAGGTTGTATTACAGAATATTATTATGAAAAAATGTTAAAAATGACATAAATAACACTGACACTGGAAAAGGAATTTGACTGGGGGAGAGAGGGAGTAAAGATAGGATGGTCTGGAGTAGAGGGAAGTGATACTGAGGGAAATACTGAGACTTCTTGTAGTCAAGGCAGCTCCTATAATTTACCTTATGGGAGCCACCATAATCGGCACACATGTGACTGACAGAGCAATTTGAATGGTCTTAACCAGGTTGGGCACATGCAGGGCAGCGGGCTGTAGAGCAACAGTGTTTGGCTGGGTGGCTAAAACACAAGCATTTCTGACACTGATGAGGAAGGGGTCGACAGGATCAGACAGGTCATAACTTCATACATAAACTTCATGGGGAAGGTCATGTCTGCAGAAGCTAAACTTGGCAATATTGGTGTAGGACTTATGTTGACTTCAATGAGGAATAGTATATCACTGGACTGCTACAGCATCACAGTCGACAAGGCAGTAGAAGGACGAGAGTAGGGGGAAGATGGGGTGGTACTGTTAGGAGGAGGACAAAAAGGATGAAGAGTAGTAATAAAGGGGGTAGGGGTAGACTATGAAGAAGACTGCAATAGGAGATGGAGTGGAGGATGTTGGGAGAGAGAAAGAGTAGTGACCTGGGTGGATGATTCAGAATGGATAGAGTTGACAGCAAACATCAAGGAAGGGCTATTAGTATCGGTGGTTGGAGCCATTGTCAAAGGAGAGGCAGGGGTCGGGAAACCAATGAAATCAAATTTAGATAGTCCAGTTGATGAAGGAACAAGCCTTAATGCCTCTAATATGGGTAAAAAATCTTCACAGTTGGCCTGAGTGAGCCTGAAATAAATGGGGAGAAAAAATGGTCTACCCCTTAGCATCCCCATAAGGGGTAAGGGCTATGCGATTAACCCCATAATGACGGGTCATGCCTAGTGGCATCATAACAAACCGCTTGGTCAGATGTGCCAGAGCGCTTGGAGTGGGACATTCGGCTTGATGTAGCAGACTCCCGCTCCCAAAGTCTGCTCATTGCCATTATTCAAGAGTGTAGAATTATTATTTATTTTCTTCACCTATCAATGTTGGGTTAACCAAGGGAATTACTGTGCCTATGGCTCCCAGAGCCCATTCATGACTGACAAAAAGCCAGCCTTTCATCCTTTCAGTATGGCTCTCACACCCTAGGAAGACGGGGATGAAGAAGAGAAGGAAAAGGAAAAGGGGAGAAGAAAAGATCATGCAAAATTAGTTGAAGGGAGGGCTGAGGACCAAGGGAGGGGAGATCCCCTACATTGGGCCCCCCTCTTTGTCTCCTAAGCCCCCCCCCCTCCCACCACAACAGCAAGCAAGGAAGTAGGGAGGTCTAACAGATGTTACTGGTATAGAACTCTTCATTATCATAAATAAAAGAGGGAAATTTTGGTTTTACTGTCATTAACTCAGCCCCCTTTCTGACACCAATAATTTGTATGATACTTTATGGTGTTATTTCAGTTAATTTTCTTAGAAAATGGTTAAGTTATATAGATGGTACAAAAACAAAGAAAAAGAAAATGAACACCAAGAATAAAAGAAAAATAGAAAAAATATTTAACACTTAATATCTGCAATGAATAAACATAATGAGATGGGGTTTAGGTCGGATATTACCAACTAGGACTTTCATCAAGATGGAGGGGGTCCGCCTGAGGAAAAGTACCTTCAGTATAATGAGCCTCAGTGACTACAATGAGCAGGCAGCCAAGAAAGGAAAAGTTATGAGTGGATGGATTCTGAGAACTTTTCAGACAAAGCAGACACTGCCATTATGGAAAGCGATTCCAAGATTGGTACATCAGAGCCAAGTATGGAATACAAGTCACTACAAAAGACAATATTACTAGAACAGGTTCAAAGAAAATCAGACATGGCAGGTTGTAGATATTGGGAAAGCCTAAAACAAGTCAAGCTTTTCTTTACAAAAAACAGAGAAAGCTAACTCATTATATATGCATGGAAGATCATGGAAAACTTGGCACCAAATCCAAGAGGAGAAGGAGGAATTAAGCCAAGACACTTCCCCAGGTTTGGAAGGACATGTCATTGTCTGGGATAACTGCTCAAACCTCGTTATTAAAAAACATGTGTAATCAATGTTTCTTAACCATGGGGCCAAGGCTGTTTACCAGTATCAAAAAGCATTAGAAAAACAACCCAAGAAAATTAGACTACTGGTTGAATTCAGTACCAGATAAACCACCAACCAATGGTACTGAAAGAATGAAGACTGAATCAAATAATACCCTTCATCAAGACCAGTCCTTAGTTGCTCAAAAAAGATAGGGTTCCCCAGATGGTCGCAGCATGAGCCACTCATAGGGCTCTTGCTTATAATTACATTAAGTAACCAAGTAACTCACAAACATAAATAGAGTAATGTAAGAAAATAACAGAGCATGCCACATGCTCACCCTGAATGGACGATGGACATATCCCCTCAAAGGCTGGCAAAAACAGTGTGCAACTCGGGCCCATGAGCCCCACTCTACCTGTGCCGCTCATTTGAGTTTCTTTTTATCTTTGTTTCATTTGGTTTACTTTCTTTTATTGGAGGCCACGATCTTTCTCCGGGCTTATTGGTGCCAGATAATGCTAAGCCACAGCCAGAACCAAGAACGACTTGCAATGAGTAGGAAGAGAGGAAGCATTTTGTAAA